AAGTTTGGTTTCAAATCTTTTGAAATCAACATTTCCAGAGGTCACACTAAAAATATAATTTTTTTTATTTGCCTAACTTGACAAGTTTCGATTATTTTTTGTTCGAAGTCTCGAAGTCCAAACAAGAATTTGCCTGAAATTTATACTATTTTCAGTTTTAAGTTTATTTTCCTGATATAAAATTAAAAGGCTGATGAAATATTCTAGATATTGTACAACATTTAAATTTTTTTATTTTATTATTTATTTATTTATTTTTTTTTTTTTTTGAATTTTCGTAGTCCAAACGAATTGGACTATTTTCAGTTTTGTTTTTCTCATTTTCTGATTAATCGTACGTAACACAATATTGTTTACAGTTTTTTTGTGAATATTTCGGACATCAAATTCTCGCCGAGCTTTAGAGTTCAAGTAAAGGTCGAAAATAGTTGTTTAATTTAGATTTGGTTGCTAATTTGCAATTTCAATTTTGTTTTTCTTTTTGACAATGACTTTATCGTCATTCTTCAAAAAAATGGAACTGAGGAGAATAGGCCTGAAACAACAGGGCTTAATAATTAAAATAAAACAATGTGTGTGAGTGTAATTGAAAAGTGATCACTATATACCGAACATGAGCCGCACTGGCCTGTATAACACCTCTTACGACTTACAGACGTAATACCATGTTCTGCCGCTAAAGTTCGTTGGAATATATTTCCTTCTTAATACAGTCGAATTCGATTATAACGACATTTTTAATGATATATCTATTATAAAAACGGTATCTAAAAGTTCCGAAAGAATTCAGCTTGATATGGCTGTTAACGCATTTCGCTCATAGCGACCAATTTGGCCGAATCCTTTAACATTGTTTGTGAAATTTCTATTTCTATACGATTTCTCATTTTATATTCTGAACACTATTTTCATAGTTGTCTAAACAAATATTAAAGTGGAACAAAATGATGGTCTAGAAATCTAGACAATTATATCTGTGCCTCTTTTTCTTAGTGCCATGAACAATGGCTCATGGTGCTATGAAAAAATTCGAACCAACAAATATGACACGTTCCATGACAATATTGCATCATTTTATTATTATGAATTGATGAAACAAAAAAAAATAATGGAAAAATTAAATGCCTATTAAAATTAATTATTAAAAGTGAAATAACGAATGGAAAATATATAATCCACCTACTAAAGCCAAAGAGATAAGGAGAGGTAATATAAATAATTATAATATGTGTGTTGTATAGTGGTCAAAAAAAAAAATATGAAAATGATGTTCTCAATATTTTTTTTTTCTTTTTGAATTTTTAATTTGTTTTCGGGATCAAATAAGAATATTAAAAAATTAAATATGTTATGTATGTTCATATAATTTTGGACCTTACTGTATATGTATATCTTGTATATAAAACGGTATTTACATTATAATTTTTTTGCGGGTTAACCTACTTTATGAGGATTTATTTGACATGTATACAATGGAATGACAATTTTAACCCAATGGGTTGACGAAATCCGGTACAATGTAAACGTACTATAACAGAGAACCTACAATAATCCACTTTTAAGGTTTTTTCAAGTTTTTACTTAAGGGGACCCCCCCCATTCTCAGGGTCAAAATTTTTTTTGACTTAATTCGAATCTACACTAATTCAAGAATGTCCCTACAAAATTTCAAGTGAAAATCTCAAGAACTCTTGAAAATATTGCCGATTTATTGTGTCAGCATCAAGTGACGGCTAAAGGGCTTCTCAAACTTTAAACGCGTTTTCTTCTTTTGCGAATGCCGGGCACGATAACTCAAAAACTAATAACCCAATCGATTCCAAATTTTTACACGTTTCTCTGTGAGTATATAGCTATCGTATGAACTAGAATAAAGCAAATCGGTGAAGATCTTCCTTATTTTTTAACTTGGGTTTTGGTCAAAAATCGGCGATTTTCCAAAAATATTTTTTCAAAGGTCCGCTATTTTGTTAATTTTAGAGCGAAGTCAATAATCCTAGTTCATACGAGAGCCAGTTATGTACTCTTTCTAACGCCGTTGGAATTTTCGGATTCCGATGTTCCAGTGAGGAGTTATCATGCCCGCCATCAAAAATAAGAACCTTTCTTTAATTACAAAAAACAACAACAAAACAATAACAAAAAATTTTTGTAAATTATTTTTCTTCCCTTTTAAATTTTCAATTATATATGTGCAAAGTTACAAACTTTAACAAGCATTGGTATTGATTTACCAGCCCATTGAAAATCTTGAAAAATTAAAATCGAAAATGGGTGGGGTTCCCTTAAACACGTTATTATTAATACAATTTTCAACCAAATTTTTAGAGAACCAAAATGGTGTTCTATTCAGTTTTGCCGGCATTTCGGAGCAACATTTCCATGTTAACAATTATAGAGGATTTTATTTGAGTTTTAAATTATGGGCCAAAAAAGTTATTTTGAGCCACAACATTTTTTTTTTAATTTAACCCAATAAAAATGTGTAGCAGAAATGTCAAATTCTATAGGATAATACGTACTGATTTTAAAAAAATTGTCATCTAATTCTGACACATTTTCACATTATTTTGTAGAGAGAATTGGATGCTATTCTCTCTTTCCCTAGTTTTTCTATTATGGTAATAGGACAAATATTACATTTATTATTTTCTATAATTACTTGGCAAAATCTATCCAAACCTTAAGTTGGTTAGGGTTATCACTGTTACATCAATCATTATTATTATATTTTTAGTACCTATTCAAACATCATCTGCTTATGAAAATTTGCCAAACGATTTGTTTGCGATTATATTTCTAGATTAGGTCAGTATAAACTAAATTTAAAATTTATTTATTGAAGAAATAACAATAAATCCCTTTAAAAAAATCCATGCATTCACATACATTTAAAAAATTAGAAAACTTGTGGAAATGAATTGAACCATAAATCTTTATTGATTTCAAAAATAGATCCCTTAGCTATAGTGATATATATATATATATATATATATATATATTTAAAAAAATAAAATATTTAAAAATATAATTTAAGTACTAAAAAATTGTATTTAAAAATTATATTAAGATAGGAATGCAGGTTTAAGTAAATTTCAATTTAAATTATTCAAATTTTTTTGAATATTTTCTTATTATATTTTTTTTATAATATTAAGTCAATTTTATTTCAGTTTTTAAATAATAGATTGGCGATAAAATAAATATATTATTTATAAATAATAGTCAAATCCTTATGTATATTATTCCAAAATAGAGGCGGGATTCGAAATTTATGTTCCAATTTATACGATTTTCATTCCGTCTTAGAGTCTTAAGTTTATATTTTCAAATACTAAATCCAAGATTTGTAGGTCTTGTAATTATTTTCGTCAATCTTCCTCGAATATGTACACAATTTTTTTTAATTGTAGAATTTTATTAATTATTTTTCACATATAAATCCGCCAATTTTGAACCCTATTAAAGCTATTTTTCCTTTGTTTCGAACTGCACTAACAAAGAAAATTACTAATTACTTTTACCTACAATTTACTTTCCATTTCGATTGAATTGTCATTACTAGGCGCATAAATTTTAAACTTGCCATAAATATTTATAAAGAAACCTCAGACACGTTTGTAGCGACTACTAAATTTAGCCCAAGTATTAAAACAAAAACAGAAAACAATGAAAGAAGGAAAGAAAAAAAATAACACTAATCTGAAAAATTTAGTCACAAAAAACTTAACAAAAAAAAACATTTTTAATAAAAAATCAAAGGAAACTCCTTAAACCCCTTTTATATATATTTTTTGCCAATATTAACTCTGAAAATCAATTTTTTTCAAAAAAATAAAAAATGTTCGGAGTATAATTTCGAATATTTTAGTCTTGAATTTGTAGATTTAAAACTTGTAGCAATAATCCCTTTATCATTACATTCTCGCAATATATCTGTTTCCCATAGTTACCTCTGTAATTTGTTGTCCCGATTATTCCAACTAACCTACAATTTTATTATTAAAATGTACTTAGGCTTTCATAACGATTTAATTTATGACATCGAAATACTTTTGTTTTAAATCTGACCTTATCTTAATCTTTTGGTCCTAGTATTACATTTTCCATGCATTTCCAAAAATATATATTTTCAAATATTTATTGACTCCAATTAAAAATATTTTTGTTATCACGTTAAAAGACTTTTCAGATTATTTTTCAGCCATTATATTTTTGTGGTTTATAAAAAATATAGTTGGCAACACTGTCAATAAACTCCCTTATTTATTTTGTCTGCCGTACCTGGATAATTAAAAATCCTACAAACAAACAAGGGATGATATTCACTTCAAAGGTGATCGTCAAGGAAATGTTTATGATCAGCGCACAATCCTTCTAATATCCTGCACTCAATGCATCTAGTATTCCATTTCAATGGCGAATAATTCTCATTGACTTTGACGACAGAGGTATGGAAATAGTTCAGTTTTTTGTCGTATTCTTTAGCTTTGCGCAGAGGCGATATCGTAACCAATGAAGTTCTACTGAGGTGCGATTATTGCTAGTTGAAAACTTTAACCAATACCCCGCCATGGGGACGTGAAATACCGTCCACTACGGCAATTTTTGCAGGCCCGAGAGGGCTATTAATTTAATAAATTTGAAAAAATGGTGCAAGTTCGTGTTCTTAAAATTTGGATAATCGAGAAAGGGATCGACATTAATTCGCCGGAGGAGTTTGAAAGGTGTCGCCTTTAGGTGGGAGACTCACTCCTCAGATAAGAATTTCCATAGACTTTTTTACAGTTAATCCTCGAATTGATTAACGTTTTTTAAACTTTTTCTGAGTATAAAAATTGCCAAAGATGGCATTACAATTTTTTCGGATTCTTTAAAAAATCCTGCATTCCCTATTTGAATTTTGATGAATTTTGTTTTTGTACAATAAAAATGGTATCTTAATTCCACTTTGTAAATAACACCCTATTAATTTTCATCTTCTCTCGCCCTTTTTACAGGATATTTTCCGCAACCAACATCGTTTGATACGTTTCATCGAACAGTCGATACGTCTGTGCAGCAATCAATCCTTGAACGCCGCTCAACAACAAAAGCTACAGCAACAACAACAGAAACATCAATTGGATACAGATTTCAAAATTACCAAATCGATAACATCACAATTGTCCACAGCCGCCCCCGAACCCATTGTACATGATGCCGATGTGGGTCAGCAATTCTCCGCTGCCTCCCTGTCAGTTCGTTTGGCCACACCACAACAGTTGCAACCTAAACCCGATAATGATGAAGAATTGGGCTTTGGCAAACTATTCACAGATCATATGTTGAAAATTTACTATCACAAAAGTTTGGGTGGTTGGCAGAAACCAGAAATTACGCCATTGGAAAATTTAGTTATGCATCCCGCTGCCAAAGTATTACATTATGCCGTTGAGGTGAGTAAGAAGGGGAATTAGATATTAAAAAAAATCATTTCATTAGCAAAGGGAGGGAATTTCTTCAGTAGAAGAAGTAAAATGTTGTAGCTGAATAGATTTTTTCATAAAAGAAATTTGTCTATTTAGTAGCTGAATAGAATTGTACGAAAAATATTAAATTGTAAGAAAAATTTACTTTTCCGTAGCTGAATAGAATTTTTCGTAAGTACAATTTTATTTTCAGGAGCTGAATTTACTTCTTTTCAAGAGTTTTTTTATTCAGCCGCTGAATATCATTCTCTCATCAAGAAAAATTGTATATAGCTGCTGAATTGTATTTGATTTATAGAAAATGCCTAATTTATTATTTTTGCTTAAAAATTCCCTCTTGCTGAATAAAGCTATTTTCATAGTAAATTTATTATTCAATATTTGTAGAGTATTTTCCTAATACAAAATGTAACAATAACGCAGCTGAATATAGTTTTTCTTAAGAAAAATTCACTTTTCATCCGCTGAATAGAATTCCCTCAAAAGTAAATATTTCATTCAGCTGCTGAATAGAAATATTTTAATAGTAAAATAATTATTCTACATTTTTACAGTATTTCAAAATTTAAGCAGCTGAATGTTATCTTCTTAAAAAAATCACTATTCAGCAGCTAAATAGAAATTTCTTTAATATTCACTATTGAGGGGCTGAATAATATTTTCTCTAAATAAAATGTTATCTTAATTTTTTTAAATATAATTTTCTTAATAGAAAATCCACTTTTTGCCGCTGAATGTAAGTTTTTGTAATAGAAAATCCACTATGCAGCTGCTGAATATAATTTTTATAATCGAAATTCCATTTTTCTTAATAAAAAAATTACTATACATTTGCTGAATATAATTTTGTTAATATAACATATATTATTCAGCAGCTGAATATAAGTTCCCTAATAGAAAATCGCCTTTTCAGCAGCTGAATATAAGTTTCATACTTTTCTTAATGTAAAATTTACTATACATCTGCTGAATATAATATTCTTAATAGTAAATCCCCTTTTCAGTAGCTGAATATAAATGTTTCAATAGAAAAACCAACTTTCAACAGCTGAATACAAGTTTCAAATGAAACAAATTTATAATTCAACTGTTAAATAGAATATTGGTGATACAAAATGTACCTCTCAGTAGCTGAATAAAAATAGTTTTAGCTGAATGGTAATTTTTGATCAAAAATCAAATTTCTATTGTCTTCGACAATACTTCCTGTTATTTGATTCAGCAAAAAAAAAAATAAACTATAATTAGTTTTAATTTTTTTAAAATTTTTGTTTTGAGCAGCTTAAAATTCCGGTTGCAACGATAACGACCTGAGTTGACGTGTGTTATTGTCCCCGTATTGCTATCAGCTGTAATTTAATTATTTATTTCATTTTCATCAAACAAAATCAATTTTTATAAACTTACACTGACTGATAAGTCCATCATCATCATCATCATCATCGTAACCCCTGTAATTATCAGTTAGCTTGATGTTATTACCTCCCATGGTATTCGGTGTCATCATAGGCTTTTATAACACAATTGTTATTGGAAAAAATCCCTTTGTTTTTGTTAATTAAAATATTATTTAAGTAAACAAAATTTAAAAACAATAATAAATAATAATATATTTTTTTACAGCTTTTCGAAGGCATGAAAGCCTATCGTGGTGTTGATGGTAAAATTCGCATTTTCCGCCCTGACATGAACATGCATCGCATGAACCTGGCTGCCAAACGTTCCGGTCTACCCACATTCGAAGGTGAAGAATTCATTAAGTGCCTGTGCCGATTGCTGTCAATTGATTCCGAATGGGTACCACACACAGAAGCCGCCAGTTTATATATTCGTCCCACATTGATTGGTATTGATGTAAGTATTAAATAAAATTCAAAAACAAAAAATATTGGAAAATGCTTTTAAAAATATTTATTAAAAAATCCACGGTTTTATAAGCTATAGAAAAACTATTTGTTTGAAACTTAAAATTAAAAAAAAACAACAATTTTTAATCTTTTGAAAAAATAAATATTTAAAACAACGCGATTTGAAATGCTCTTCAATAAATCGGTTGACTTCTTGAAGTCCTTGGAAAAATATTTTCAAACGGCTCTCGATTAAACATATTTAAAAGATTGTAAACCTAATTTAAATTTATTTCATTTTTCCCCATTTTAGCCTACCTTGGGTGTTGCTGCCTCCGATTCCGCCTTGTTATACACAATTCTCAGCCCCGTCGGCAGCTATTTCAAGAGTGATAGCACCGGTGCCGTTTCCCTCTTAGCTGATCCCGCCTATACAAGAGCCTGGCCAGGTGGTGCTGGTAATCGTAAAATGGGTTCAAATTATGCCCCCACCATCAATGTACAAAAAGAGGCTTCCCGCAAAGGTTTACAACAAGTATTGTGGCTATATGGTGATGATCATCAGCTAACCGAAGTTGGTACCATGAACATTTTCATGTTCTTCGTTAATGAGAAAGGAGGTAGGTTCAAGAAGAATCCATTTAAGGAGACAAATCCGATATTAAAATTTTTTTTTTTTCTCAAATTACAGAAAAAGAACTGAGAACCCCACCCCTAAATGGCCTTATCCTGCCCGGCATTACCAGAGATTCCATACTTGCCTTGGCCCGTCAATGGGGACAATTCAAGGTAACCGAGGAAATTTTCACCATGCCCGACATTACCCGTCTGCTGAATGAAGGCAGAGTAAGTATACGAATATTTTTTCCGAATTTCGAAAAACAGTTATTAATTTCAATTTTTTTGTTTCTTTTTCCAGTTATTGGAATTGTTTGGCACTGGTACCGCCTGTGTGGTCAGTCCCATTAATCGCATTAGCTATTTGGGTCAGGATCTGTACATCCCCACCATGGAACAAGAGAAACCCATTCACGAAACAATTCGTGAAACATTGATGGACATTCAATACGGCAAGGTAGAACACCCCTGGGCAGTTACAATTGAATAAGTGACGGCAGCCATTTGGCCTGGAAATTTGTGCTTCCAAAGAATCGCCCAAAAAAACGGAGAGAAAAGATTTTTGTGAAAAACAAAAATTCATTTTCATCACAATAACAACAACATTGTCTTGTGTATTAATAGCTTTTAATTAGCTCAACATTTAGTTACTAAATTATAATAGCATTTAATTTATGGAGTAGAAACAAATATTAGTTTATTATGGCCTCAGATATTAAGATGTTAGTTTAGGTTTGGGAAGACAAAAAGAAAGCAAGCTAAAATGCTCGAATTTTTTTAAAATGCATTTAAAACCGCAATATATTCTCTAATATTTAAGATTATTTAAGTTAATTGTAATCACACACATACATGTAACGACAATGGGGCAATTGTTTTTTCTCCAAAAAACATTGTCTTGGCTTTTCTAAAAAGTATAGAAATTATATACATATTTATTTATTTTATTGTCGTAACCCCACTGTACATATTTAGTTAGCTATGTGACGTACCGACATGCAATGTCTTTTGCAGGAAACTTTACATGGAATTCCTGAAATTCCATTTAAACTTTCATGATTTGGATCATTGCCTGTTTTTCTGTGTAAAACTTGTTTTCCTGGTAAAAAAAAAACATCACATCACTTCTTTTTCCTTTTCGTTTTTTGTACATATTCGTACATAGACTATCATCTTGCATAAACATATATACAATATATTTATAATAAATTTAGTTTTTATATACTCAGGGGCTATCATTTGTATGTGTAAATGAAAAAGAAACCATATTTATATAGGGTAATTATTTTCTTATTTCCTTACTGCATTTGTGTCTAACGAGAAAAAAAGTTTACCTTTCTTTTGAAAAAATTTCCTAACGTACCGGAAAAAGTGCATTTATTAATCTATAAGTTCAATATTCTTTTGTAGTTTTGGTTATCTCAGAATCTACCTATGTATCTACCTACTACCCTATATGAAATTGTATCAAAATTTAAATTAAATTGTTTTCAAAATCAATGTATTTTGCACATATTTATCTGCCAAACTAATTAAGTATATAATTGTAAAACAATTGATAAACGTTTTTTCTTTTCTTTTTTGTTCGTAAATTGTAAGATACAAAAACACATATACATACATAAATTGAAAATAATCATCATATACATAAATAAATTTTTGTTTGAAAATTTAGTTTTCAACAGCAGTAAAACAAATTTAGTTGTTGTTTCTTTGGGGGTTTTTTAAAGAACATTTTTCAAGATTATTTCAAGGAACAGAAAACTGAGATTGAAACATTTTTTTTTTTTTTTTTTTTTTTGAAAAAATATAAATATAAGCAACCCTTTAAGGTATAAAGAAAAATAAATCCATTATTTATGTATGAACTATAGAACTTTATATAACATGCTTCGGAATGTGCGATTTGGGCCAAATATGAACCGTTTTGTTGTATGATTTGTTGCCATTTTAAAGGTAACTTCATAAGGCCTCTCTCATAGAAGTCCTGCTCTCTATTTGCAAAAAAAAACTCTAGTAGTCGATTTTCACAATCCTCCCAGATACCAATTTTTTATCATTAAAGAAATTTTGCAATGCAATAAAAAGATGATACTCGCTTGATGTCAAGTCTGTACTGTATGGCGGATCCATTAAAACTTCCCAACCAAGCTCCCAAAGTTTCTGGCGAATCGCTGTAGATGTGTGTGGCCTCTCCTGTTGACCAATTCTGGCCGTTTCTGGTCAATTGTAAATGGTTTAAAACAGTTATGGTAGATTTTTAGCTCTTGGGCGATGGTACGACTGCTAACATGCCGGTCAACTTCGATCATTCCTCCGATTTTATCGACATTTTCGACGTCCGGCCTAGCTGTCAAAAATTCCTGATCGGGATCTACGAAACCGAAATTGCACATAGTTGGCTGTTACAGTATCGGAACCATAAACTCCATTTACAATTTTGCAAATATGGTATATTAATTAGCCCACGTTTTGGTATAGTCTCCATATGACGGTACACCCAAATATTCGGCATTATGGGAATTTTTAACAGAATAGGCTGTAATTATGTATTTTGGGCTATCATTGTATAACACATCACCAAAAATAAAAAATATTGAACCACGTTTCAGGTTAGCCTCCATATAATGGTACCTTTCAATATTCGGTACTTTGGGGATTTACAACACGTTTTCCAACTGAATATGCTGTAATTTGATATTTTGGATTCTCATTGTATAACACTTCATCGTACCAGACATTATTAATATTGACCCACATTTCACGGTAGCCTCCATATAACGGTACCCCTCAATATTCGGTATATTGAGGTACCCCTCAATAGTTGGTATATTGAGGATTTTTGGCAAATTTGGAATTTTGTATTCTCATTGCATAATATATCACCGTACCAAAAATTTAAAATATTGAACCACGTTTCAGGGTAGCCGCCATATAACGGTCCACCCAATATTCGGTATATTGGGGATTTTGAACACGTTTTCCAACCGAATAGGCTTTACCACAATATTATGTCTTTGGGTATATTTTTATAACAGGCAAAAGGAATCGAGATAAACGCATGGTTCCTTTTGAGAATATGCATAGAATCACTTTCTGAGTCGATTTTTACATGTCCGTTCGTATGTCTGTCCATGTTAAATTGTAAACAAAGTACAGGTCGAAGCAAAGTACAGGTCGATCCGAATTGGATGAAATTTGGCACAGCTCATCTATTTGGCACAGGGACGAACCCTATTGAAATTGGTGAAAATCGGTTCAGATTTAAGTATAGCTCCAATATATAGTTTCACCCGATTTTATGTAAATGGTGCACTAAAGTCCCTATATATATTTCTATTTGCACAAATTTTTGAATTAAGTCTAAATTGATGTGTGCCAAGTTTCGCGAAAATCGGTTCAGATTTAGTTATAGCTACCATATATATTTTCGTCCGATTTAAGGTAAATGGTGCACAAAAGTCTATATATCTTCCGATTTGCACGAAATTTGGCAAAGCATACGGAATTGAGACTAGAATGATGTATGTAAAATTTCTTGAAAACCGGTTCAGATCTATATATCTTTCGATTTGCACGAATTTTGGCATAGCTTATTGAAATAAGTCTAGAATGATGTGTGTTAAGTTTTCCGAAAATCGGTTCAAATTTAGATATAGCTCCAATATATATTTTCGTCCGATTTATAGTAAATGGCGTACAAAAGTGCCTGAAAATCATTCGATTTGCACGAATTTTTGCATAGCATACTGAATTAATTCTAGAATGGCATGTGCTAAGTTTCGTGAAATTCGATCCATATAGAGTTTCGCCCGATTTTTGGTAAATGGTGCACCAAAGTCCCTGCAAATCTTTTGATTTACACGAATTTTGGGCATAGCGTACTAAAGTAAGTCTTAAAATAATGTGTGCAAAGTTTTGTGAAAATCGGTTCAGATTTAGATATAGCTCCCATATATATTTTCGTCCGATTTAAGGTAAATAGTGTATCAAAGTCCCTACATATCCTTCGTTTTACAGGAAATTTGGCAAAGCGGACTGAATTAAGTCTAGAATGATGTGTGCTAAGTTTCGTAAAAAATCGGTTCAGATTTAGATATAGCTGCCAAATATATTTTCATCCGATTTTATGTTAATGGAGCAGCAAAGCCCCGATATATCCTTCGATTTCCACGAATTTTGTCATAGCGTACTGTGTGCTAAGTTTCGTGAAAATCGGTTCAGATTTAGTTACTATAACATAAGGTGTGTCAAATTTTGTCGGAATTGGTTCAGATTTAGATATAGCTCCCATTTATAGTTTCTTCCGATTTTATGTAAACGGTGCACAAAGACCCAAAATATGGCCATAGGCACATATTTCGAGTTTCGTTGAAATCGGTTCTGATTTGGATATTGCATTCAAATTTATTTTCGTCCGATTTAAGTAAATGGTGCACCAAACTGCTCATGTTTTTAAAATTGACACAAAATTTTGCACAGCGTACAAAATTGAGCATAGAATGGCGTAATTGCGTTTTATAGAAATGTAGACATAACGCATATACATATATATGGTTTCGACCGACTTCATGGCTCCAAATAGTCAACGGATGTCCGATTAAGATTTGCTATATCTGTCCAAATGAAAAATTTGGTATAGATTGCAGAATGACATGATTATGGATTGGTCTAAATAGGTTCACCATTAAATAAAGATGGCATATTTTAATTCATCTAATTTTATGTTAATGGTTCATCAAAAATGCGACGTCTGTTGGGAGGCATCTGTTAAATATATCCAAAGTGGCGAAGGGTATCATATAGTCGGCCCGTCCGACTTTACTACTTTCCTTACTGGTTAAAAATGTTTTTAAGTTCTGGAAGACTACCTTTCAAGGAACATACGGGGGTTACTATATAAATAAATAAATTCTCTATCATGCTTTATATATATTTTTTATGTGATCAGAAAAACTGTACAAGAATTTCGATTATGGTCGATGTCTGAAATCCCACAATGTCATGATGAACTATGATTCATATTCTATTCTTTGGTTTTGAAAATTTTTCATGGTGGGGGTATCAAAAGTTCTGGTTCCACCATATATTTACTCCATGTTTTAAATAATAACTTTAAATGCAAATATATTAAAATTTTTACCACATCCAATATAATAGATCGATTGTTTTTAATTTTCATTTATATATTTATTTGGTTTTCTCCTTTTTCAATTACTTAAAAAAATTACATTTGTTTTTTTGGTTGGTTTACATAAAAAACAGAAACAGAATTAATTATTAAAATTATTATTTTTATTTTGATACATACTTTTATTACATAAAAATTATGTAAATTTCTAAACTTAATAATGATTTTAAATCTTGATTTCGTCGTTACACTTCTTGTTTGCTGTCTTTGCTTGTTTTTGTCTTTAAGATTTGTCATACAATTTAACAATTATTCATTACTACACTTCGTTTCATTTTCTTTTCACAAAATTCATTGAA